CTGGCCCTCAGCCAGGGTCAACCTACCACACTGGCAAAGAAAAGCTCTATCTGCATCATGTTAAATAAGCTTTTTTTCCTGAAAAGACAGTGAGGAAGTTCATTTTTACTTCTTAACGTAAACTGAAAATAAAGAACTCTTACTAATTGTTAATGCACCTGGAGACTACAGACACCTAAACATGTAAAATAAATACATAAATAAATAATATTTTCAGGTCTTCTGATTTTCTCCATTTATGTGTTTGTTTTCCTCCTCCTTGGTCATGAGGATCCAAGCACTGGAGGTTTGGGTGACAGAGTCAGAAAGACACAGAACACAACTGCAGCTCAGCTCCTCCTCACAGTGTGGGTGCAGGAGAGTTCCACAAAGGCCTTTCATGAACACAGCTCAGGACCCTAACAGGAACGGCCATACATGATCTACAGCAGCACAGAGCAGGAGGTAGCAGACAGAACTGCATAATGTACTTCAATGTCCTAAATTCTGGATCTTAATCACACATCCTCTAGCAGCATGTGTGAGACATCAATTACATGAGAAAGTATGTCATTCTGTTTTGAATTTGCTATTTGAATTTCACATCCTCCTGTTCCTGTGTTATGAGACAGAAAACAGGAGTTCCTAGTCTACTTTATATTTATTATTTCTGCACAGTTTTTATGCAGTCTCATATTTCTTTCTAAATAAAGTGCATTAATATCTGCTATCAGATGAACAAGCAAGAATCTCTAGATTCTCTTGATATAAAATGACAGAACATTCGCAATTGACCTGAAGTTCAAGAAAGCCAAGTGGGGACACAAACTGCAAATTAGTCAATACCATACAAAACGCAAAGTCTTTTTCACCTATGGGTAAAAAAAAGACTTTAGATTTTGTATAGTACAGACTTAAGACAATCCAAGAGAATTCTAGATATTAAATGCTGCACTAGAGAGTTTAGTAAAGAGAAGTCACATACCAGGAAATGAGATGGCCCAAAGCAGACTGAATTATGAGACAATTAAATTTGCAGACAAATGGAGAAGCTCATTAACTATGCAGTGAATAGGAATGATGAAATACCTCTTTACATCTGGGGCAACTGATATCAGCAAGGAGACTCTTAGCTGGAATTCTCATTCGGCCAGAAAATGTGACAACTTGCAGAGCAGGTTAGCAGATTTGCCATTAAATGAATACTCTAAAGATAGACTGTCATTTTAGTCATTGCCTAAAAAATGCCAAGGAACAGCAATTGAATTTCTAGCATCTGAATCACTTTGTTGTCTATAAACATAATAGAAGGATAGTGCTTTAGGGTCTCAAATGAGCTTGTTTCCTACTTCAAGGAGAGGTAACGATTGATGATAGCACTCAAAACAGATGGAAGAAAGTAATGATGAACTTGTAATGAATACCTAAGGAATAAATCCAGCTTACTAATAAATAAAACTTTCCTGAGCAATTAAGAATGTGGAGGTCTAACGAAGCTACACGACTTTGCAGCTTCCCCTTCTCTTTGGACAAGTGTGATAAAAGACGTCTTATGACTGAATACTGCCTACACAGTCTGACGTAGTCCTTGCTTGATGCTGAGCAAATTATTCAAGATTTGATGTGGTCCAAATCCACGTAATTTTCATTTTTAGACTGTTTGCCATAAGATACAGAAACTTGGTCTGTAGAAGTACTAAACACTCACAGATGCAAGCCAGTATGAGAGGCATTTTATTAATATAATGCTAATAACGCATTTTAACCATATAATGCTAAGAACTCCGGAATAGTGGTAGTTCAGTGGCTCAGGCTGGATATTCAAAACTAATAGAAGACTTTGACCTTAATCTCTCTGTGCCTCAGCTTCCCATCTGCAAAATACAGATAATACCACTCTCTCATCTCACAGGGGATTTGTGAGGATGAACTCAGTCATGATTTTGAAGCATGCTGATAGTATAAACACCTTAAAAACAGTACAAGATAGGAAGTAGCTCAGTCTTTGGAGCACATAACCATAAGCAGTAACTCGGTTATGGGGAGATAAACAAAATATTGACTAGCTGCTGATTAAACAAACACTAAAGATCTTGTGCACTCAGTGAAATGAGAGGTCATGTGGAAAAACTTGGATCATGTAATCCAAGACTGTATTACAGGTTATAAACACAGTGGAGTAAAATTAAGGTTGAGCGAGTAACCCTAACCCAGTAAGAGCTCTTAACCTTAGAACAGTAATCCTTTAAACAGCTTTCACTTCCTCCAAATTATCAATACAAATTTACAAGCAAATACATGTACATCAAAATTGTCAAGAATACATTTCAATTCTGCTACACAGAGGTGGGCAAAGCCCCAGACGCTCTGCTATTCTCAGTTCATTCAGCCTGTTTCTGTAAGAAACTGCTTCCAGTGTATCCTTAGTTCACCTTTTCAGAGAGTACTGCTTTCCCAAGGCTGCCTCGGGGTCCTGCTGACGGATTGCTCTAATTGCAGTTGGTGAAGTAAAGAAGGCAGCTACTTCATGCTCTGCTAGCACACGGAAATAGGCACCAGCATCTGGCGTTCCCACAGGCTTCCCCTATGGAGAGAATAATTTAAAATGTCACAGGATAAAAATATTTCATAATTCCTTGACAGTTCAAGGCTTGAACATGTAACAGTAGCGGTAGCGCAGCAACAGAAGTAATTTCAAGTAAGACTTTAAAGAAGGCTTTGTTAAAAATAATAATACTGTGAGCATATTCACTTGTAGAAATAAATTCACAAGCTTTGGGCATAACCTCCCAAAAGAACACAGCATATACTAGCTGCTACTTAGAGAAACAGGATAAATGGACACATGAATGAAAAGACAGCCACAAAAGGCTGTTATGACACTGGCAGCAGAGGGAGTCATGCCTACATCTACTCTTACTGTGAAGCAGCCTGTAAAACACCTGGAGTCCTGCTGA